TTTTCCAGCCACACCTCCCAGTCCAGTATCCTAGCCGACCAGATCAAAGTTTTTATACGAGCTCTCAGCAAATATTTTTCACGAGAAAGTCTCTTTCCTTTGATTTGTATCCCACGTTGGTTTTGTTGTGCTCCGTAACTCAGTCGTTATGCAACAACCGACCCATCGCTGCGGTCCACTACGTAACCTATTAACGCAATGATGATTTTGCCTCAATTGGTGATGAAACGTTTGAAATCAAACTGCCCAGCTTAGCTACCTGAACGCCGACTCAACCAGTTAGCTTGTTTTTTTCTATTCTGCATATGTAAATTGCAGAGGAAGTTGTTCAGGTATAGCACTACTCCAGCTCCTAGCACGATGCCTGAGATACTGCTAGGTTGGTTGGTCAAGCCAAAACAGAGGAGCAGTCGAGAGACCCGTGTCGATTTCGAGATGGCTACAGTGGTGAGAGCGCGAATTTACTGATCGGAAGGTCCGCGGTTCGAAACCCACCTCTGCCTAGACTTGGGCAACCAGGCAGTATCCCAGCCCTCATGCTTCCTTCGGGTGGCATGGCAGCTAGGCTACAGCTGAACGATTGGTGACTGGTCGATTTCGAACCACTCAGATGTCTCGACGATGTCAACCCTCTCTGTGAGGACCGGATTGAGTTGTCAACAGAGGACAGTCCGATAAGGATTGATGACGAGTAGTGGGAAACGACAGTAGATCTTATGTCTAGAGTCGAATCACGAAGCGAGGTGTACACAAGGAGGTATTTCGAGTGGATACACTTGGCTGAGTAGGACAAGACAGGATGCCGTCGCACATTGGCGATGAAGCGGAGCGCTGAATGGAGTAGAACTACGAGAAGTGCATGTTGGCGTTGTCTGCGAGTGTGTGGATGTAAGGGATAACGGTAGGTAGATGACGGCTCGCATAAGGGGGAGGGGAACAGCAGACATAAAAGTACACATTTGAAGGATGACACCGTGTATATGCACTTGTGCAGATCGGTGGTGTTCAACCCTGACCTACTTGATTCCGTTTGACAGCGGCAGGCACACCGGCATCGGAGTGCTGGTGGGCAACTCGGAATGTAACTGCGGTCTTCTTAGAAGTATTTTGTGTTTGCAGACACATCGTAGCTTGTTACAAACCCAGAATGAGGTCCGGGTTCATCGTCGTAAAAGTTAGTGTACCTGTTGCTTCAGAAAAGATACTCTGGAGGCTTCGTTTGAAGAAGTCGTTGATTGAATGAGCTAATTCCATTTCCGAACCATACCCAAGTGATCAAATCGGCCTTGAAACAAGGCCTATCAGAGGGAGACGCAATGCCACAATCACGATTATTTTTTCGTAGTTTACGCGCTATTTCGCACGGTGTGGTCGTTGAACAGTCCTCTCAAGGACAATGTCCTCTCAAGCACACCAAACCCAGGTCCGACTGGTCCCGGTAGTGATCGGAAATTCATAGTTCACTGATTGACTTTTTATATCAACCCTCGTGCGGTCAGGGTGGGTGAGCGAATAGTCATTGGTTTGAATTTTTCTCATGAAGGAAACTACGCACAAGGTTGCTGAAAACTCTTCGAATATCATAAACGAACAAAAGAATATCATAAACGAGCGATTCAGTGGGGTCTCGTGAAAGGCAAATTGATTTGCAAATCAGTATATTTCTCATTGGCTTGAACTTCCGGCTGCGACTATCCTCGAATGCCTGCAAATCAGCTGCCTTCTCCTGTTTCAGAAATAAAGATGTTCTTACGATTGGGTCCACTTGCCAACTTTGTGCCGGGAAGAGGAATATCATCTTTTACAGCCTCTTCGGAATCAGACATTTTCTGTTTTTTTTTAACTTCACCTTTTCGCCTTCTTGGGAACCTAATGCAGTCAGCTGCGCTGATCATTGCCATCTTCCTGGATGGGGACCCCGAGACGGGCCACATCAATGGTTAGAGACATTGTCAGACATGGCCCGGTCTCGCCCTCAATGAGGCTGGCGCATCCAAGCTATTTCCTTTATTGCATAGCTCTCTTCCTAATCCCCCCACTTGACAGTGCTGTATTTACACACCGACTTATCAGCTCCCGCCTCCAATGCACAGCTACCTACTCCACCTCCCCAAATCATCGGTGAACGAAACTGTGGCAGCTACAACCACTGTACGACAAGTAGGCGGTTAATACAGCTGATAATGATGATGATGATGATTATCGTCATCGAAAGCACAGCATCGGTGTGTAACACTGATGCTTCGATGCCGTACAATCATGATCTATTCGAAGGACCTATTGTGAGGTAAAGAATAAAAGTTGGTGGGAACGGACTTCATGTTATCCTACCACAATCCCTCCGAGGTGCGTACACCTCCAGACACTCATTCAGGCAATCTGGTAGAAACTGAAAACGAGGTCGCCTCTGACATCGATTATAAGTCATAGGTTGCAGCGGCTCCAACCAGGCGCAGTGGGAATCACGCGGTCCCCATCCTGGAAGGCGAATCGCACAACCCAGAATAATGGTCTTTTGTTGTTTGACGTCTTTAGGTTAACGTATCTTGAATACGTTCACTGAGTGAGGCTACCAGACGAGTTTTTTTCACTCAAGCGTCCTCATCGATCATTGCTTTCTTGTGCCCTATCATTTGAGCCGCAATGGGACACTGCCGGCCTGACGACTGTCTGGCTAAACGGGCAGTGGGGTGTCGAAGAGTCTTCATGGCCGTCAGCTACACACGAACGAAGGCGTTATGTTGTATATCAGCAGTCGTTTTTTCCACAGTTTGTTTTCGTTCGATTGCTCATTGGTTTACCACCCCAGTATTTGTTTTCTCCCCTGGCCAGTGTGTATCAAACGGCGGAGGAGGGGATGACGCGAGCTGTCAGGATACCACCACGGAATTCAACACTTCATCAAAACTGCTTCGAACTCAGTCCGAGTGTAAGCTGGACAGCAGTAGGATCAAATTGACACCACTGGATAGCAACTTGATATTCGATTCCATCGATGGAGCCATATCCAGCCGCCGTACAAGCGCTGACCTAGTCACCAACCCAAGCTCCATCGCCTCTCCTGGTGTATTGCTCAGTGGCTCGTGGGACATTTCGAGTGAGTGCATTTTGCGTTTTCATTCATTGTTCATCTCCGTTCCCCATATCGAATCTAACTTGACATTATGATGAGTCCCCTTCCATTCATTTGTTTACTCTGCCCATGTACTTTTGATCTCCACTTGTTTCGCTCATCTGAAGTCGCCATTCACTGTCCGGTCCGACATCGTTATCACCAGGCGCATGAATATGCGCCGCTGACCTGTTCGCCCACGCGTTCTCATACCCCGTTGTGTTTTGCCGTGATTCTCGTATGATCGCACTGCCGATCGGAATCACGTGACTGGCTTTGGATGGGACGACCGCAACCCACACTACCGGGCCAACATTCGCTCGTTATTATGTGGTTTGCGCACCTACGGAATGTACCATCTTGCCGGACAGTGGCAAACTTTGTGCACTTGTTGACGCGGCTAATTGAGGTTTGCTGTATAGCTTTACTCACCGTATACTTTTGATACTCGGGATCGTCAAACCCACACGTGACTCAAAGTTCCGTATCGGAAACCTCGACTTCCTAGTAACATCGTCAAGAACCAGTACACCCGAGAACGTGATACTTCCCGGTTTCCTCTGCCATATGAAGTGACTCTTGGGAACTGATCTCTCTACCATAATAAGAAATACTTAAAGCCTTAAATTTTTGGTCGTTTCATCCATACCGCGCAATCGTGCCCTGATAGAGAAGTAACTTCAATCAGTCGTCAAGAACCAGTACACCCGAGAACGTGATACTTCCCGGTTTCCTCTGCCATATGAAGTGACTCTTGGGAACTGATCTCTCTACCATAATAAGAAATACTTAAAGCCTTAAATTTTTGGTCGTTTCATCCATACCGCGCAATCGTGCCCTGATAGAGAAGTAAAAGTCTTCAATCAGGTGAATTCTTTCCGGAGGGGTCGTTCTCTGACCAGGGAGTGACGTGCTTTCCATGGGAATAGTTCCACAGCCCAACCTCAGCGTTTTGTCAGATGAATCCCGCTCATTACCGTCGTTCAAATGTACCTCTCCGGTCTCGACTCTGTTGTAATTGTTTTTTTTTCAAAAACTGGAGGTAAATGCCTCTTCCGTTTGGATTAGCTGTTTCCATCGGTCCTAGTTTTTTGTGATGAGTATTAGTTCCCGTGCACATGCGCTTTTGGTGTTCGGTTTCCGTAACGTTTCTGATGAAAATCTTTCCATGTCGGATCCAGTCTTGTCTCCATTTATGGCACATGAACGTGATGTGAACATCATCCGTACTTTACGAGTATAACTCATCGGTCGAATATGGCCTTCCCAAGAGGAAAGACATCCATCAAGGGGCAATTTTTAAGCAACGCATCACCTTTCTATCACAACCTCCTTCGAGGATACTAACCAAATTGGATACCTTTCATATAACGTTAACTGACGGTTCTACTCTTTAAGAGGAGATACCACTGTATAACTGTGGTGTCACGCCGTTGACCCAGATCCGTTTGTTGACTACTGCTTCACAGAGTTTATCCTATAAACACAGCTAGTGTACTAACCAGCCACGTCGATCGAATTTTCTTGATAGCTAGCCGTGGAGATTCCACATTTGCGGTGCCGTTTGAAAGCCTTTGAGTAAAACCAGCTGCGTAGCTTAACACACATAGAGGAACGCGTGATCCCCGCTGCATCTGGTTGGAGACGCTGCAAGATATGGCTGCCAGCCGATGTGAGTGGCGTTCTTGTTGTCAGTTTCTATCCAGATTGCCAAAATGAGTGTCTGAAGGTGTAGACACTCCGGATTGATTGTATAAGGTACCACCAACTCCCTCCCCCGTCCACCTTTATTCTTTTCTTCACCATAAGGCTTTTAAGTAGATCATGGTTGAACTACAGCGAAACGTCGGTGTTGGACACTGATGTCATGCCAATGTTGATGCAACAAGCACTATTTTGTTCTTGTTTTTGCATAGTGATTAGTTATCCAATTAGATCGTTGCTGTTCGAATTAGTAGGAACAATGCTATTTCCTGAGGGTAGGTACAGTTGAACGAAATATCTTTATAATACGGTGGTATTTGTTAAACAGACTTTCACAGTTACAATGTTTTGGTTAATGTTATTGTGTTTTCTTCACGTCAACTTTCCTTCGTCTTCACTTACTCTCCAGGCTCGAAATCCAAGCGTGTGATGAGCAGTGTAAAGTTAGCTAGCCCTTCGTCTCACGTGTTGTCCCGAGAATCTGTGGAAACCGGCCTCTACTTACCGGATGGCAACAAGACTGTCGAAGCCGGTAAACGTCTCGAACCCACTAACGAGACGTGCATTCGTTACCATTCTGGTCTAGGCTCTAACATGTTTGTGGACCATTCGAAATCTGGTATGGATCGGACTACAACCGAAGAGGTGATACGATTGGATCCGAAGCACACCACGGTTCCTAGTGTGAGTGGTCTTGTTGTCTTTTTTTATCCTGCCTATTTCTTTGAAGACTCGGAAGGGAGACAGTTTCCGGTTCGACCAACATCTAACTGACCTTCCATCTCACTAAGTCGAATTGACTGCCACGTTGAACAGTTAGCCTCAAAACCACTGTCGATATGGCCTCATACTACAACAGCAAGCTTCTTTTGACTAAAGTTGACTTCGCTTAGGATACGTGCTCAATACCTCCTCGAAATGGAAACTACCGCTCAGCTGTAACACCCCTTCGGTGTCTAACTGCCATGCCACTCGAAGGAAGCGTGACGGCTTGAATTCTGTCAGGTTGCCCAAGCCTAGACAGGAGAAGTTGAGACGCAAAGGTCGGGTTCGTACCACGGACCTTCCGGTCAGTAATTTCGTGCTATTTCGAGTTATCCCTGGAGTGCTGTATCGACCGGACTCTCAAGGACGCTTGTTGTCCACAACACTCATACGCCTAAGGTCTAGAGCTGGTCCGTCACACCTTCTTCTAACGGATTAAGGGTTGTTGAACGTTGATATTGTCTGGACGCTCAAAGGACATTGCTGTAGATCCCAACAACACCGGAAGATACTTCAGTACGGTTGGAATTCAGTGAAACTACAACTTGGGATGAAGGAACCAGCAACAGCTCCATATTGCCGGGTTACCACCATTGTGCTCCTTTTAAATTAGTACACATATTCCTGGCTAATAGCTTTAGGAGATTACTGATCTGCGTTTGCGCTTCACACCCTGACCCTTTCACCATGCTATCTATCCCTCGAACTCATGAAAAACAACGCCCGTAGTCTGTCTGTATTCCACGCTTTCTTTGTCGGTCTCGGACACGTTTACACCTACTGACGCGGTCCATTTTCTGTCATAAAAAACAACTAAAATCATCTCGATGAGTAACTCATCGCTACCAGTTGACCCAATCTCCCTTCGAACGTGACCACAAAGTGCACATGTTGTCGCTTCTGCGTCCACAGTCCACTGCGCCACATGATGGCTGTCTGTCGACACTAACCCTGGACGCACATCGACATACTATTATTAGAAGGCTTCTAATGTATTGATTACCAGATTTTGTTGTTGTTCATTTATTCTATTGCCCCTATGGCCCGGGAAATTCCGATGGCTCTTGTCCAACCATGCGTGCGGTGGATAAATGTACCGAACTCTCTGTGTGTGGGTCACACTAATTTTCTATTGATTGATTGATTGATTGATTGATTGATTGATTGATTGATTGATTGATTGATTGATTGATTGATTGATTGATTGATTGATTGATTGATTGATTGATAGTAAACGAATTATGCTGGGCAAATGTGGAACGATGTTTTCCTTGGGAGCAGCGCACTTCTGACGCTCTTGCGATTTAATTTGGAGTGGAGAGAAGCGTGGATTTCAACTTTTGTGCAGCCTGCTCCGCTGGTGCCTCGAGTCCGATTCCACGGGGGTTGCGATTTCGCCGTCGAGTTTGGCCAACCTATCGCGGCGGTCTGCATCTCTTCTGAATCCAAGTAGGAACGATAACCTACTCTAGGTCTCCCATACATGAGTGCTCTGGGTTGGAGGTTCCGCTGAAGCGGTCTTCCGGCACACTCTAACTAGGTGAAGAAACTCAGGATAGCTCAAGGGTTAAGGGGCGAACTTACTTACCTCAAGTTACATGGCTCGAATCCAACCCCGATTTCTCGACTGTTCCGCTGTTTAGGCATGGGCAACCCGACAGTATCTCAGTCATCGTTCTACTTTCAGGTGTTGTGGCAGCTAGACACCCAAAGGGTGTTACAGTTAAACTATTCTTATTCAAGTAGAACATAAGGTTGACGGAAACTCGGGGACTGCGCCTACCTGATAAGCCCCAGGAAGGGCGAAACGGGTCGTAGGCTGTCGACGGATTTTCAGCAACCTTGTGAGTAGTTTGCTTTATGAAATTATTCTTATTACTATTTTTGTCATTATGATTTAATTGGGTGAGGATTTCAGGTTCACTTTCTCTAAATATTATGGCGCTGGTTGCCAATTCCCACACAATTATATCCCATAAGAGAAGGCACTTTCGGGAAGGAACACTCTATTCCCTCATTGAAATCAGTTTTCCCGATTGTGATACGTTCGTGGCAGATTGTAACCAATCGCGAAACATCTGTGATAGCTTTCAAAATTCTTCGCCAGCAATTGCCGACCAATCTCTGGTAACATCATTGCTGCCTCTGCCAGACTCAATCTTGTTTTTTAATCAATCCTATCGAACTTCCCTCTCATCCTGGTTCGTCGGAACCAAGCCAAACGGAATATGCAAGGAAACAATTTACCACCTGGGTGCCAGCCCATACTGCGTTTCTCAGCCTTCCGATAACAGCATCCTAAAAGGGACTCTGGCCACACACTGGCACGAAAGAGGCCCACTTGAAATCGGAAGATTGCCCACGTGTTTCTGGTCGCACTAGCGTCCGGGGGGGATATTATCGGCCTGAGACAACTTCCTCCTAGTGAATGATGCTCAGAGCGAGTTGGGTTAGCCTTGGTTCCTCGTAGTTCGGAAGCTGTCGATGCATCGACTGACTTCCTTCGACTCGCGAGGCTTGTAGTTTGCCGTTTGACGCTTGGAACGTGTTTTCGGCATTGTGTGATGGACCTATCGGTTTGTAGTCAGTCGCGGAACAGGGCAATAAATCGGTCATCGTTTCCTTGTCAACTTAATATGTGGTCGATGCCTTCCCCTACCTACCTTGACAAGCGTGCCCCGAACTTTTCACCGTATATTAATCACAGAGACCCCCGTGAACTTTTAGGACAAACAGATTGACCTTATGATTCGCGATGCAGCATGCGCGTTGCACGATACAACAGGTAGATTCTTCAACAGTTTTCAGAGTCATCAGTCTAGGAGAACCAAAGGTGTCTATACAACCGAACACGGCAAATAAAGAAATTGGTTGAATGAGATGTCACTCTTTTTAAGTAAATTCGTCAGCAGCTTCTCTACAAGTACGGTTTGTATGTATCAGGAAAATCAGATTCCTGAAAGCAACCTCAGAACGCCCGGAACTTACTGCTCCACCAAAAACTCAACAGGAAAGCCCGCAAGCATCCAGACCAGTCAATCACTCCGTCAATACAGCAAAAGCCGATGAGTGTCCATGCGCGGCACAGAAGCACGACCGAATATGATCGGCGTTCAGGCATTTCTTAGAGGCATGATCGATGTGGCGGGTGTTCACTAGCGCCTATCAGACAGCCTGGATGAATGTCAGAAAGCCCCCTTTAAATAGCGTCAAGCCGTTGTAACTTCTGCTCTCGCGCTCGTTTGTTCGGAATATAGCGGTTGTGTTCCCTTCTGTGAGTCTTTTCTCTCCGACACTAGGCACTGGAGCGGGTCAGCAGCAGATACCACAGGTCGACGAATCAGTAGATATAACAGTATGATATCCGGTTCGGCCTGGAGTTTGAAGGTTCTAACCCTGACGTGCATGAACTGTTCTGGAACGGGTACAATCTATCCATCCATCGTACTGCTTTTTTCCGAAATGCAACGCGCGTCTTTTTTGAACGTCATTATCGTATGATCGTGGTGCGTTGTGTGCTACCGACACGTCGTACGTGCACACAGACACCAAATTCAGTAAACCCAACTTTGTATAAGAAATTGTCGAAAAAACGTCTATAGATGACGGTTTATGTCACAAGACATCCTGTTTCCGTATTTTTATACTGAGGCGTTGTTTTCCATCCGTGCACAAAGGCGATTCCGTTTTACGAGAACCTACTGTCAATGTTCCGCCCGCTACCTATGGCGACGGCTTGCTCACTGTTGTTCCGCTCAGGACTAGTGTTTTTTCCTCGAAGCACACATCACGCAGGTGCAAACACATTCATCCATACGTCAAGGGTGTCGCAGGACTGGAGACTAAACCCCAGTACGACCAAGTCCAACCGATGAAATTTTACAAGAACCTAACTCTGGAGGCAAGCACCTCCCGCTTGACGTAGGATGGACTGTTGAAACTAAGCTATCAGGAGGCAGTCAAGCCCACATGCAGCTGAGTTGGGACCCTTTGCGTTGCATCACGGTTTGATGCAGATCAGAGGCATGACCAGGAAGCGTATAAGTACAAATAAACACTGTCGTATCTAGTATGCGATAATTGCTCAGAATCCACAGACAATCGGTTTAGCCCTGTTTAGTTCCAATCAGGTGAGGCGATCGATCTTTGACTTGAACAGCAATTTGCACATATTCCTGATAGAATCTCTAGGTTGACTGTATGCTGCATATTATTCAGGTGAATATCAACCTACGATTGTTTCAGCTATTTCATCATGCTCATAAATCAATATCCTTAAATATCGATGTCTCTGGATGTAATGGCATTACCCGTTCAGATATGGGAGGATGTTTTGCGTGGATGGCTTCCGTATGACCCAACCAACCGGTGAAGGACGAACTGTACTCACAGTGATCACAACATGAAGCTTTTTTAACAACCGTTTTTCATCAAAGTGATCTCACGTTGATAGGTGTCACCTCACTAGGTGGGTTTTTCAGAACATTGGTTCAGGGTGTCCCCTGAGTATACAGCGGTGACCCTGCCCCAACTGAAGCCACTTTTTTTGAAAGTATTAACTTGGAGAAGATTGAATTACTTTATCACTTACTGTCCGACCTCTCAGAGTGAGCACTTGACAATCAGGTACCTATTACCGCCATTTGAAGCACAGTTTCCAGTCAGGCGGTTTAACAGTGTATTGAGCATACTTGAAGGACTATGGGGGAGCCAAATCACAGACTCAAAAACACCATAAACGAGAGATTCAGCTGGGCTCCAAATGAGTCCCCCGTCACGACCTAATTGGTTTTCGCTAACTTCATGCAATTTAGATTCAAGTAGAACACGAAGTTGGACCAACCGATGAAATTTTACAAGAACCTAACTCTGGAGGCAAGCACCTCCCGCTTGACGTAGGATGGACTGTTGAAACTAAGCTATCAGGAGGCAGTCAAGCCCACATGCAGCTGAGTTGGGACCCTTTGCGTTGCATCACGGTTTGATGCAGATCAGAGGCATGACCAGGAAGCGTATAAGTACAAATAAACACTGTCGTATCTAGTATGCGATAATTGCTCAGAATCCACAGACAATCGGTTTAGCCCTGTTTAGTTCCAATCAGGTGAGGCGATCGATCTTTGACTTGAACAGCAATTTGCACATATTCCTGATAGAATCTCTAGGTTGACTGTATGCTGCATATTATTCAGGTGAATATCAACCTACGATTGTTTCAGCTATTTCATCATGCTCATAAATCAATATCCTTAAATATCGATGTCTCTGGATGTAATGGCATTACCCGTTCAGATATGGGAGGATGTTTTGCGTGGATGGCTTCCGTATGACCCAACCAACCGGTGAAGGACGAACTGTACTCACAGTGATCACAACATGAAGCTTTTTTAACAACCGTTTTTCATCAAAGTGATCTCACGTTGATAGGTGTCACCTCACTAGGTGGGTTTTTCAGAACATTGGTTCAGGGTGTCCCCTGAGTATACAGCGGTGACCCTGCCCCAACTGAAGCCACTTTTTTTGAAAGTATTAACTTGGAGAAGATTGAATTACTTTATCACTTACTGTCCGACCTCTCAGAGTGAGCACTTGACAATCAGGTACCTATTACCGCCATTTGAAGCACAGTTTCCAGTCAGGCGGTTTAACAGTGTATTGAGCATACTTGAAGGACTATGGGGGAGCCAAATCACAGACTCAAAAACACCATAAACGAGAGATTCAGCTGGGCTCCAAATGAGTCCCCCGTCACGACCTAATTGGTTTTCGCTAACTTCATGCAATTTAGATTCAAGTAGAACACGAAGTTGGAGGAACCTCGGGGACTGTGCCTACCTGATCAGCCCCAAGTAGGGCGAAACCGGTCGTGGGCTGTCGAAGAGTATTCAACAACCTTATGAGTAGTGTATTTCGTCCCATTACACTACTTCACTTCGTTACTTTACCATTCCGTTATCCAAATGGGAAACCCTGAAATTTTTCCCCTTTCCTTCCAACCAGGAAACTAGAAAAGCTGTCCGTCTACACAACAGACGACTTTATACTGATATTGTTCCCATTTATACCCTCTTACTAGTATTATTTATGATTATCTCTGTAAAGCAGCTTGCAGACGTGACACTTTCTGACTGAAAATAGATAGATACTATGGCTGCACTTGTACCAGGTCGCTGTGTTATTTGTCTTGAATACGGTTTCTATTGTATCCTTACCACAGTTACTTACAACTCCGCCGAACACGAATGTGAACGATTCTCTAACTGCTGGGTCTACCACCTCCAAGAACTCGCGTCCTGAAGAGCGATCCATATTCAGCTTCAATTCTCCTTCTTGGACCAACATCACAGCTGGTCCATTCACAACGGACTCGGCGGACAAAGAAACGACCACGAAGTCACTGTCTGCACCTATTAGTCCGGAACGAGTGACGCCACTGCCGCGCGGATTCAAAGGCACTGCCACTTCACTGCAATCGCCCAACAGACCCAAAGTAGGTTATGTGACTTCATCTTCGAGTCGAGCTTACTGCACTGCCACCACCATGCCACAGCAAAATAGAGAATTATTCGTACCCGGTCTGAAGCACCTATCGACTCCACAGAACAGTCCGCTGGTCGCATCCATGCCCACCTTCCACCGACCATCCAGCAGCTCAGACCCAGGGCCCGACTTTACCGGTGCTGTAGCTTCCGGTGGTACCGTTTTCTCGCCGCGACATGCTTCTGCGCCGTCCATTCAAACCGCAGTTTCCGCCACAGCTTGTCCGAGCCCGATAGTTGCCACTCCAAACTTCGGACATCTCTCCGAGGCGTTTCGAAATTCGTTGCTTGCCGGGGCGCAGTTCCAGGCTGGAAACATTCCTTCCTCACAGGCGTTTGTCTTTCCACCTCCGTCGCCACTTCATCTGTCCACGAGCACCTCTAAGGACAGTCAAGTCGGCGTCACCGCAACGTTGTCTTCACGAGGTTGGGTCGAACGACCTTCAAGTGATACAGATATGCATGTCACAAAATCCAACGCCGGATCTAGGGAAACAGATGAATACTTTTCTCGCCTAGTTGAAAATTTTGGTAGGTTTTCAAATTGAATTTATTCCTGTTCGATCAGTCTATCCTAATTAATTAACCAATAAAACCTGCTTGTTCCAAGCCTCACCGTTGTCCTCACTGTTCCCACCCCTCGGATGTAGATCGCATTGCCGATACGGACATTTAAATTATCGTTGCGTTTTCGGTAGAACCACCAGTTTTTTGTCGGACAGAAGAGTTTCATCTCAGCGAAAGCCGAACCACTTCAACAGATTTGAAGCTTTTGTCTGGACACTGAGTAGTATACGCTAGACAAATTGCAAAGACATCTGACAGATGTTTGAATAGTGAAGGACCTAATATATTGTAAGGAATACTTTTGCTTATTTCTACAGGTGACCGACGGGTGTACCATCAATCAGGTGTATTCATACAGTGTTTGCCATGTTTGTCCAACTGGCTATGGGAAGCCACACCTCAAAATCAATGGGAATCCATCTTTTAAAAACATCTTTATCCTTCAGCACTGGCTTCTCCGCAGGACCCAAACGAGCTGAAGTTTGCACACGAGGGACCGGAACGATCCATCATCGTTTTATTCGTTTCTCTACGTTTTCACAAGAATAGTCGCTGGAGTGCTATAATCCGAACTCATCGTGTCGATAGGCCTCTTCTCTTGGAACAGGACTTTTTAGTCCAAGGAACTGCACTATTTCACACGTGTACGATTGTCTCATTGGTCATTTTCGCAGCGCGGAAGATATGAATCGAGCGTTCCCATTGGTGTGTTGTGAATTCTGTGAATCTATCTCAGTATGAGCTCCGATAACCTGGTATCCTAGTACTGCTGCGCGCAGGCAATCTCATTCATCGATTTCCGACGGTTGATTTGCCGTCCTTTCCAGAACTGTCGATCTTCCGAGCTTTGTGTTCCACTTTGAAAACGTTGTCCCCACGTATTTGGGAACAACAACTCGTTCCAAACTGCTGGAGCCAATCGTTGATCGTAGTCATGTTCAAAACCCGAACTGACTGTTCTGAATACTGGCTGACGCCTGTTCTTGCACGGCTACTGATTTCACCAATATTGCGACGCTGAACCTCAGTAGATAAGGCACAAGTCCGAGAGGACCTAGCAAGATTTCGAACTGCATCAACTAATTCCTTAGGTCACATCAATTGCTTGAGTAGCACCACCGCCCTCTAGTAATCGCCGTTTTCCTCCACATTGAAGAGGCCTCCGAACGATCCGTGCCAGAAGGAAATACCCTTTAAGTTTGTGGACCTTCTCGTGCCCCTTAATTCCAATAGTTCTGACCAGGTTCGGACCTACAATGAACTTTCAGAATACCAGGAGCTATTGCATTGTGATCGCAAAGCCACCCGATCAACATGCAGTATCCAAAAGCACCCTCACAACTAGTGCAGTTCCTCAGCGCCGCCCCTTCCCTCCATTTTTTTCAATCTTGTCATCGATGTGATCATGGAGTGCGCACTCCAGGAACCGCACGAAAAATAGCATTGTTTTCCGTCCCAAACCTTTGCTGGCGTAGGTCTGAGGTACATGCCGTGAAATAGCAACTTGAAATGAAAGCATCAATGATCAAACTAGACAGTCTGGGGTCATCACTCCCTCCTATCTGGGACCCATGTGAGATCCTCTTGCCGCGTAGCGGAAGTTCCTAGTCCTTCCGTGACTAATCGAGATTCAACTCCCATTGGTTCATAGACGTTGAGTAGTCATGTGATACAGCACCTGCTTTGTGTACCCGTCGCAAGTGGACGGCTTTCATCAAACCAACGAAGCTGCTTACATCCGGTCGTGTGCCTGTTTTTTTTTCAAAAGTATGAATAGCCGCTTCCAGGTGGATCTCAGGAATTATTATTGCAATGGAATGTGAACTTTTCGAAGTCACTAGTATCGGACCTCAACTACCAGCTTTGAAAATAATTCAGCCGACGTAACCTGTACATTCTAGCCCGTTCACCGTGTGACGCACACAACATGGACCCGTTTGCCATACTCAGCATGTATGACCGAGGTCGGTTTAGAAAAGAGCAATCACGGGCCAATGAGAGTAGTTGATCACGCGACCCCTCGCTTACCAAACGGGCATCCCATCTTCTGATCTACATTGGAAGACGTTGAACTCATACCCATAGAATTCGGATTCGATTCGGTACGCATTTATCGAATCGTGAGCAACATAAAACCCGCAGAGCCACCAGGAAACCGATTTCTTTGTTTCCCTTCCGCAATGGAGAGGAAGGTGTCTTTCTTGAACTGGCTTTTAGTCCATCTGCGGGAGGCTTGTGCAACGCCGGGGTAGCCAGGTGAATGAAACCATGGGCTACATCTTCAGCGACCCGGGTTCGAACTCCACACAGCCTCTCCCTACTGGCCTCTACATGTGATGTTTCACTAAAAAATATTAATAATCTATCACAAAGGGGAGCTAGTTGCTCAAGAGTTCGCGTCGCTGAATGCTGGAATACAAGCGGAGTAGCGGGGTCTGGGATGCGAATATGAGCTATGATACTCACTCCCTTATGTACCTGACTGACACGCGTTCAGGTGAGGTGTACAGAAAACCGGTCATTGAATGGCCTGGAAATAGAGTGCTGAGGAAGAGTGAAAGAGATCGGTCGCAATGTATTTTCGCCGATTCACCCTGCTGCACATGTGCTGTCCCACCGGATAGGTCGACAGGAGACATTCTACAGGTTATCCAGCGCCCTTAGTGGTTATCTTTGGAAGTAGCTTCTCGTGGTGGATATGTGGAGGGGAACGAGGATTCGGACATGATTAGGACTCTTAATCCCGGAACTAGAAGATAAGCGTAGCATTTGACAGAACTGTCAATGTCCTAACCATTATGCATTATTGCAGTCACCTGACCGTCATTTCAGTGGTAGTCGGTGTGTGTGGCTCATGTACGGCAGTGGAACATCGCTGTCCAACGCTGGTGTGTTATTGATGACGACGTACGAACACATTGGGGGCGCGTTAGCATGACCATGTTATCGGCGTCAACAGCTGACGTGGTCACCGTGTCTGACGTGATCGGACATACCAGCCGGTTCCAAACTGGTGACCAGATCATACCTGCTTTTGAATGTGCTGTGAGTCATTGAGTCCGGACCAGCTCAGGTATCGGCGAGTTGTGCAAAATTGAGTTTGTGTGTATGCGCACAGTCGTTCTGACACATTACTCTTGCGAAAGCCGGTCCAGATGCACCCTGGGTGCAAGGTGCTGTTTCCACTCCGTTGTTTGTGCTCCACCGCACTAAGAAGTTTCTCAATATACCACGACAGCTTGTCATATTCAATTCATCTGTGGTACACCCACTACAATATCTTCAAGATCACATAGTTTTGTTGAGACTAAAATGAAAGAAAAAAAATCAAAATCGTTTAGTTGCAATACCCTTTTGGTGCCTAACTGCCATGCCATCCGAAAGCTGCACGAGGACTGGGATACTATCAGGTTGCTCGAGCCTAGACAAGGGAAGTCGACAGGCAGAGTTCGGGTTTGAACCAAGGACCTTTGAGTCAGCAAATTCGCGCTCTAATCACTTGGCTCATCTCGCCTCGGACCGAAATGATATGCTTGATCGATACTTGTGACATTTAGTAATCGGCGCAGTAAGGAACCGCGATATCCGTGTGAGCACAAGTGGCAAATCACATCGGATGACTCGACCGCGGGCCCAGTGTTAGTGTAATAAACAGCCTAGCTGCCATTCCACTCGGAGCAAGCGCGTGGGTTCAGATACTGTCGGGTTGTTCAAGCCTAGAACAGGAGCAGTCGAGACGCAGGGGCCGGATTCGAACGACGGACTTTTCGGCCAGTAAACGTGTTCGTCATCCACTGGTCCCCCCCACACCATGGAGGAACAAAGGTTTAATGCGTATTTCAAAGGAAAGGGATAGTTGAGGGCCTGTTTTGAAGAGACCTGTGTCTCTAGGACAAACACTCAAGAGCCATGTACCTTCAAAATCTCATTTTTCAATTGGATGCTATCAACAGGACCGGATTTTGGAAAATTCATCTAACCCAAGCAAACTCTTGCTGAGATCGGTTGCCTGCTGTTCCTTGTAGGGCTTCCAACGATGGGGGGATAGAATCATGTGAACCCTGGCTGGGAAGGCGCGGATCTCGTGTCGCTGCTTAATGGTATGTTCCATGTGAGCCTTTCAGTTGAACAGGTTCAGAGTGTAGGCATGCGTGGACATTGGTCGAGCATACTTTGTACTTGCGGCAACCAGCTGAGATCGGTAACCCTTAACTGCTGCTCAGGCGAATACGTCTAACTACCTGGGACTTGCCTGTAAATCATTTCACTACAAGTTTGCTGCATTTTGATACGGCTGAATGGGTTATATAGGTGCAGCAAAATGCGTTTCAGTTGTAACTTCTCTTGGCGATGTGCGTTTTCACCTCACTTTTGTTGATCATCACCTGAAGTTGTTTATAACAGCACGTCGCGCCTCTCTGACACATTACCTTCAATAAATGTCGTTGACCGTGTTCACGTTCGAAGCCATCTGTTGACGGATTGAGTTTTTAATGTTCCGAATTCCACTACCTCCATCATGGAGGTACGCTAGAATTCAAGGACAACATAGTGTTCCCAACGGCATTTTGTGCACAGTTTTAATCTGGTTCGTGAGCATGTTCGTTGCTAGTTTACGATTCTTCGTTGCTCAAGGAACAAACCACCATTGTGTAAATCCGGCACGTCAAACTTTTGTCTGTCTCATTCGTGGATTTATGAAATTATCGGTTATTTACTGTGTATGTTCTCTAAAAAAGCTAATGAATGCAGTCGCTTCCAACTTGACTTCCGCAGCCGACATTTCTATGCAACAAATCAGATTTCCACCGAGGAATTACTGCTTCCACAAATAAGGAATGTCCATGTATCTTTTTTTCTTTCATTTTAGCCCACTGGGCTTCAGGAACTCCTGGAGATGGGCCCTTATCGTTTCTGAAACCTCTTTCAACCATTCAGAATCCTACAGCGCCGAGGGACGGTGAATCGGACAGAGCGACGGTTGACCAGAATGTTCCGGGAACCAAGAATGTCAACCCAGTCGGTTGTGATTTCTTGCCTGTCAATAACAGAAGTGCGAATTCTCATCTGTTGTTCAAACGCGGTCGCCTTCAGCGAATTCCCAGACCTAGTCGTCCAAACAGTCACGGATACTCCAGCCCTGTCAGCACGAACAACAGCAATACAGCAACAGGTGCTAAGGACGATCCTAATGTGCTGACTGTTCGAACACTCACCGCCCCCCATCGGTCTACAGCAGCTCGTGGACGCGGTTCCAGCAGTGGTGGGCTTCACATTTGCCCAATATGTTCCCGACAGTTCAACCGTTCTGATATGCTAGTCCGACACGCTCACGTCCACACAGGTCACCGGCCGTTTGAGTGCACGGCCTGTGGACAGGCTTTCAGTCGATCGGATCATTTGTCCACACATCAACGCACGCATACTGGACACAGACCATATCGGTGTCCGTTATGCTCCTACTCAGCATGCCGACGGGATATGATCACACGGCATTTACGTGTGCATCAGCGACGGGTGAGTGGAGCTATCCAGTCCGGCGACAATATTGAGACTTTGTTTGCCCGAACCCACTTAGTAGTCGAGTCAAAGTGCTCGTTTTATTACGAGACAATAGTGACGGACATTTGTTGTTTGCTGAAATAGCTGAAATGCACATCATATGTGGTTCCAAATGAACCAATCTGTCGAAATTAAACGAGACAGTAGCTTTGTACCCTTGGAAAATCCCTTCGACTAATGCTCGAAAGTCAGAAATCCAGTTAGTTAGCTATGTTCTTCTAAAGATGTACACTCGTTTGGGGCTTACGAAAGGCTCTTGTTTATGATGTTCTGCATGAAAGCCTCTTCGTGTTTCAGATGATAAGCTATTCGGGATATCGTGGTGCGGTTTCTTCAGGGAACACGACCCATAAGTTGCTGGAAATCAGGGAACACGACCCATAAGGTTGCTGGAAAATCTTGGACAGCCCACGACTGGTTTCGTCCTTCTTGGAGCTCACCAAACAGACGCACTCCCCGAGTCCCCGTCAACCTAACATTTTACTTGAATTCTAACTTTACGAACCACATTCATTTGGAAACTACGTTGGTTTTTATCGGGAGACTCAGCTTGATTCATCGTTTATGATATTCTTCACCTGGGTGTATTGCCGCCTAATTTGTCAGTTCGTACGATATTCTCGATATCGCAGCATGTTTCCTCGACATAACAGACTATTCATAAGGTTACTGAAAAGTTTTCAGCCGAAAGTAGACAACTCCTACAACAAAATTTTCGTGATTACAAGCTGTGGTTACGATGACACTGCGACATATCTGAAAATAAATCCTTAGAGAGGAATTCTGTACTCCAACGTCTAAAAAAATCTTTCCCATTGAAAATGAGACACTTGACTGAATCTCAATTAGACCTCATGTAATACTTTCCAGCTGAAATTGTAATGCAAAGATCATCTCATTTTCCAACCTGAATAGTACTCGTAATGTCAAATAGTTTAAATACTACTACAACTCTTTCAGCTGCAACACCCACTCGGTGCCTAGATGCCATGCCACTTGAAGGAAGCATGAGGGCTTGGCTACCGCCAGGTTACTCAAGTCTAAACAGGGCAAGTCGACAGACAGAGGTCGGGTTCGAACCACCGACCTTCCGGTCGGTAAATTCGCGCTCAAACCACATGAGCCATCTCACAATTGGTTTCGCCCTCTTTTGGGGCTTGTGCCTCGGTTTTCACAAACTTTGTGTTCTGCTAGCACACCAAATTGCACACAGTTGGCAAACACTAGCTCATTTGAAAATTACTGTGATTGTAACGAGAGGCTCAACTTATCGTGCTTAGCACACCAAATTGCACACAGTTGGCAAACACTAGCTCATTTGAAAATTACTGTAATGGTAACGAGAGGCTCAACTTTATCGTGCTTATTGTGCACAGTTATTCTGTAACTCGGTGAGAGAGTTTCTGGCCTATCTGTGAGGCCGGTGCTGAGTTGAATGGAAATGCGAGCGCGTTAAACTTGTTACGCTGATTTGCTTTCATCTCCTTTGGAGGAGGACTCTCTATAGGGAGTTATCTGATAGCTTTAGTGGTACATTGAGACTCTGTAACGGGTTTTCGCCTCACATGTGTGAGAGCTAACGGTGCCGTGCAGCCCAGCCTCTTGCGGAATATTCCGCGTGAAATTTTAACTACTTATGTGTTTTTAGTAGTAAAACAAGAATCGACCCTAAGGCATTGGGTCCATCAAGCCCGGACCTGAATGCCACACGATTTCAGCTGAAATTGGCTTTCGGTCTGGCTACAGAGAGGCCTGCTTTTGCGGTCCTTTCGGTCTACTTGATTATCGTCAACCGTCAGTTTTGGTTAGGAGTTCCAGTTCCAAAGATGGTTGGTTGTATTTCCAGGTCATTCAAGAACGGCAGATGCTCTTTGTTTCCCCACATTGACGTTGTCCATATTTTTTTCCAAAACTTCTTTACAGGGTCAGCTTGGGAATCTGGATCAATTGAAACACTTCAAAGCTGGCTTTAGCCAGCAACTCAACTCACCGGTTGCCCCAAGTGACCGTGGGACTCACGATTCCACGTCATACCCGCGTTTGACTCGCGGTGCTCGGAAACCCCGACGAAACGCAATGATCCGATCAGCACCCGTCAATATCTCCAACACTGTTACTACGGACGCCGCATCTTTACCATCTCCGCCTCCGCTCACATTCCACACTGCTCCCCTTACGTCCTCATCCAGCCCCGCGTTTACTTCCTGACGTCCTGCAACACGCGGTTGCATGCGCTTGCTGTAAGCAAATACTTCCTTCATGAGTGCACCACCCCCGTTTCTCGAGTTTCTTGCTTTGTTTGTCACTCGTAGGACGTAAAATATTACTTCCTATGCCTGTGCATCTGGATTTGCGTAGGCAGGTGAGATAACACATTTACGTGTCATTACGTCATCCAATCGCGACCTGCTAACAACACTTGAAATGGACTACTCACAAAATATCAGTAGCATAAAATGCATCGGCTGCGTTTGATTCCACTCCAACTCGAAATAGAGACAGCCATATAGTTTGTGCTTCGAAAATAGATGCAATCAAACCCGCCTGCAGCGACCGAATAATAACCGTCGCGTTACGGGGTATTGAAATCCTGCACCCCTCTATAAATTAGAGCATTCTTCTCCTGGGTTCTCAGGGGAGGCATGACAGGTGCTTGATGCATAGATAGAAAAGTCTATCCTCGAGATCAAGCCTTCATAAAACGCTTTAAGATTTTACTAACGTAATACCTTACCTACAGATGTGTCTCTATGATCAAAACTCATGTGGTTTCGGTCTGCATCGATTTTTACACTTGAATGCAGCTCTTGATGTGTCTTCACTTCTCTCAACAGAGGACTTGATCTCATCGTCATGATCGTCACATGGAAGGAAGTCGACCAGGACGCTTTCGCCCAATCCCCGAGTTTTCCGTACTTGCCTGTTGTGCGGTCTTGCAAATGGAGACCAAAAGCGTACGAAGATCCTTCATTGTTGAATTTTCACTATTTTCTCTTGTGTTTATTTTGTTGCGGTGACAACGATTTCGCATTTGCCGTTTTTCACACATCCACCCACATACACATGCATACAAAACCAATTCGATCCACAGTTCCGGTTCTACCTGTTTTATTTTTTAATTTGCGCCATTCTGTGATCCACCACCACCACACCTTTGTTCCTCGTGATTCGTCTGATTTTGTCACATTAAAGATTACGCTTTTTCTTTCCTTTGTGGTCTGTTCTCTGAATCAACGGCTTCGACGTGTTTCACCCCTCCACTTCGAATTCCCCTGCCGTCCGTCGCCCTGCCCCCTGCCTTAGAATTCTAACCGATCATTTTGCACAGTGCTGTTATTTTTATACGTAGCGCCTTCTTTCCAACTCTTTTCCTTCTCACTTTGTGAGGGGACAGCACACACCTGTTCTATTTTGATGTATTTTTCTACCATCTGGCCGTTCAACTTCCCCCCATCCCGCAGCCCTCCACACGCTACTTTCATCCCCAAGCCTAGATCTTTCCAAGAATCACTGACGCATTCATTCTGTCTCTATCATATTATTGATATTTTTATTTCGATAGCTGTGCGCACCTCATTTCTCGCCGCCGTCATTTATGTCGTCGCATTCATCAACTGTGATTTCCATTCCCCGCTCACCCTCGGGAACTTCTGTACTTCTCACTGTGTGTCTTTTTAGGTGTGTCAGAGCATACTTTGTGCTAGTTTCTTGAATGTGATCAATTGTGAATAGCCTCCACTTTTCTCTTCCTATTCGGGGAGGTGTGAAGGAAACCGCGTGAGGTGGGGGAGGTTGGTCGTGCCCTCTAGCCTGTACACTTCCATCGATGACGCAATGCTAAAGTTCGTGGTATTCGGTTCGGTAGAAATAACTCACCCGCGATAGATGAACTGATCGCGCTGCATAGGTTGCGATGGCTCGGTCACGTGCTGCGTATGCCAGTCGACCGACTTCCTCGAAGAGCTCTTTTCGCACAACCACTTGAAGGGTGGAAGAGAGCCAGAGGCGGTCAAACAATAACTTGGCAGCGAAGTATAAAAACCAGAGCCAGCAAACTCAGCTCCGCTGGTCATTGCCGTCTTCTTGAATGAGGACCCCAAGATGGGCGAAGTCAATGGCTAGAGAGTTTGTCAGACATGGCCCAGTCGCGCCCTCAATGGCGCTCGTGCATCCAAGCTATTGTCTTCAGTGCATAGCTCCCTTCTCAATTCACCCTCTTAATACTTCACCTACAGTGCTGTATTTATACACTAATTTATCAGCTCCCGCATGCGATGCGCAGCTACCTACCCCACCTCCCCGAATCATCGGTGAACGAAGCTGCGGCAGCTAAAATCCCTGTACGACAAGTACGCGGTTATTACAGCTGATGATGATGATCAACGATGCGCGTTTTTGATTCGTTTAGCTGTAACACCCTTTCGGTGCCCATCTGCCATGCAACCCAGATGAAGCACGAGAGCCGGGATACTGCCAGGTCGCCCAAGCCTAGACAGGGGAAGTCGAGAGGCAGATGTCGGATTCGAACTACGGACCTTCCGGTCAGTGAATTCGCGCTCAAACTACTGAGCCATCTCTTGTGCGTGGTTGCTGAATATCTAGAGTTTCCATCCATAAAACTTGTGTTGAAATTATACTTCTCTATGCTAGTGATAGTTTCGGTGATCAGTGTCTCAGTTCGGGCTAGAAAGTACCTTTATTAGTGCACAGGTAGTGGTAACCATAATACAAATCAGAAGGTGAATGTGCACTAATAGAAGTTTTTGTATGGTTGCGACACGTATGAAAATAAATACCGTGCGAGGATGGGAGCAAGTCAAAAAGGGAACTTATCGTATGTGACAGTGCCTTGGTGAAAGTCCGGACGGTGGGAACGTGTTTTCTTCACAGTATGGCTGCTACACGTGTTCCATGATTGTCCGTGGACTTGGGGAGAGGTTGACGTCCTGCTCCCTGCGCGAGTCTGTGTCCTGACTGGGTTCGGTTTGCCTTTATGTACGTCCCTGTGCGTATACGTGGGTGCGTCGGCACATGAGTGGTTGCTACGCTGACTAGGCGGTGCAGACAATCGATGTCCAATGAGTCAGCTTAGTGCGACGTGTTGTGAGTATGAAAAAAAGGCAAGCCTCGCGATCCAGTGAGCGACTGTGAGTTGATCAGTCAAGTATGTGGGTGACTGGGTCGCTACACCTTATACCCCCTGAGATAGAAATTCATAGTGGAATTAGCAAAACAGTCGAAAACGTGAAGTAGGGCGGATCCTGAAATGTATATACCCAACTAGAAACTGTAGTCTCGTATACAGGGGGCGAGATGGCCCAAGTGGTTATGGGGCGCGAATTTACAGACCGGATGATCCGTGGTTCGAATCCGACCTTCGCCACTCGACTTCCCCTGTCTAGGCTTGGGCAACCTGGCAGTATCCCAGCCCTCGTGCTTCCTTCGGGTGGCATGGCAGCTGGGCACCGAAAGGGTGTTACGTCTGAACGATTTTTTCATACAGTACGTCGAAAATGCGCTGGTACTCAGAGAGATCGAAGTTACCGAAGGTTGCGGTGCTATCAAGAATGCGTTTGAATTTTGTGTGCGTTTCGGAGACTCGAAGACTCAAAAGGAGATGGCGAGAGTATTTCTAAGCTTGCTGAAGACACTTTTTGGTCTTATTAGGAGAACCAGCTGCGAACGTAAGGGGACTACATAACAGCCAATGTTGTTCGTTGAGATAGGTTTCATTGATTGTTCTTCACTCGCCCTTGACAGATGAGTTGTATTCCTAGTATCACTTCTTTGACCCGCTTGTACGCGACAGTGATCAATAGATCGGTCGGTTCGCACGTCCATTGACTTTTTATGGTTTGGCCAAACGAACCAGGCGATCAAGCGGCTAACCAGGCCGGGGTTCACGGTAATAAGAAGGCATTAGGGAGACTGTGGTCCACAACAGATCTCAAGGGGAATGTTAAATCCAGCTGAGAAGGACTTCAAGATGAGATTGTGAGTTACGTCCAGCATTTTGAGCCTGAGTTTGTGAAACATAGACGGACTATGTGAGGCAACTGGGTTTGGTTAGTCTCGGTTACTTGACTGTGAGGATCTCAGAAGATAACCTACTGGACAAGTAGGTGAACAACCTTCCTTCTCAAAGTAACATGGACCATCCCTGTCGCCAGTATTTGGATCCAGCTCCGACATGCCTCGTGCCCTATCTTGTTAACAAAATTTGCAATGGACGAAGATATCAGTGTAGCGGTGGGTGCTACTGATGAGCCATGCGAGTAGTATGCGGTTTTCTCATACGGCTACTGAAAAGTGAGATTTACTAGGGAATTTGTAAAATTGCTTTGAAGCACACGTCTACTTTTGAATGATACTCAATGAGTATTCGGGAAAGTTCCCGAAGACCTATTCGAGAAGAAGACGGATGTTCAGTTTTTATAAACAAGATGCATCTGCGAGTCTTGCTTCCCTCTCCAATACTCTGTAACTGTCCAGTTGGTCTTTTCCGACAACTGGCTCCGCAGCGAGGACCTTCTTTCTTTTATCAGTATCAAGTATACCAACAGAGTAAAAAGAAAGGAAGACAGAAGAGAATTTCCGTTTTCCAAAACAGCTTTGGAACTTTGGTCATCCAGTCTGGTTTGTAAAGTCTCACTAGAACCTACCTACAAATCGGATTCACAGAGAAGCTGCCACAATAGTCCTCTGTGGATGCCAGTATGGTCCAAACGATCTTGGAATTTCAGTCAAATGAAGATGTGACCTGATACACTGAGTAAACGACAGCATCGAACACGATCTGAGAGGCATGCGGTGAGAGATGTAAGAACGAGCTCTCACATACTCTGTAGTTTAGGTGTGCTTTTTTCAGGTGCTGGTGTAATCCTTAAGAATCTACAGCAATTTTCACCCACTTTCCCACACAGCCTGAACAGCGCAGACTTTGAGCGACATAGGTGGCACTTGTTGTCTCTCCAGCCTTGAGTTCGATAGGTTGCACCCACATAGACCTACGTGTCAATACGGTTAGAGTGTTTAAAACGATTGATTGGTAATAGTTTCATTGGATTCGCAGTTGAAACTGTCAAGGTCATTGTCTAGGCCATGGGTTCAACGTACTGCACATCCCGAGGAAGTTCTTGATGTCAAGTCAGATTTAAATGTATGTTTCAATTGATTTCTCTTTCCATCATTTCATTGACTTCTTGACATCTGTCCTCAAAGGTTACTTGAAAACCGGAGGTGAAAACCTGTCAGTCCAGCTATTGGGCTAACCGGTCAAACGTTCACGACGCATTGAAGGATTATGAAAACTGGGAAACTCGGTTACAAAAAACGCGTGCCCTAGTTTGATTATATTTCCATGTGGACAGTGTCCATGGGATCTTTCCAACAAATGAGTTATTCTTCGTCTGTGGGTAGTGTTTTTGAGTGACAATCAAAAAGTAATGGCCAGTAGTGTACACCCGCACCTGACAAATTTGAGCACCAGATGTTTAAAGGAAGCAAGCACCCTACGGAGACTACTGAAATGGAGGCATGGAGACCTCCCTGAGTAGCTAATCAGAACACAGTGGAGCAAGGACCAGCAAATCACGGTAGTCCGAGAAAACAACTCACGAAAATGTGAGGCTTTATGAGGAGAACAGTGTGGCAACTTTCAGAGAAACGAGTTTTGCATTCAACAACCAGGCACTAACTGTTATTCTGAAAACGTTATGCAGATATATGCATATATATGGTCAAGATGCCACTAAGGAGCTTCTAGGACGATCAACCCGTACTACATATTGACGATTTGTCACACTATCGCCAAAGGGTTTTTTGGAAATAACGGCCTTGTGCCTACGACCTTGAGGACACACTAAAACACAATGTGCCGATAGAAGAGTGTAATACACTGCAGTTGTGTAGAGTATATTCATACAATTAGATGCCCGGCCCCTTTCGAAGATCCTGCAAAAACGTACGAACCGAATTGTCGAACACTATTCAGATGTGGGCATATAGAAGTATCAGTATCAACACAAATGAAGTCTTTGTGTCGAACATTTACCATCCACAGTGGAAGGTCGAGCGTTTGGGTGTATTGGGGTTACATTCGAAGAGATAACTGACAACGCCGTTCCTCCCACACCCCCATGAAGGCCCAACATCAGCCTCACCTACACAACTGCAGAAATTATTGTTTGGGGTAAGTCATAGAACTATGGATGGTTCGGGTGCGTTTACTGGTTGTCGATCTGTTCCCTGAGCTCTACTGTTTGTCTGTAAATGTTTCTTCGCCATTCAGGAGGCTAGGCGTCAATCACTGTTTATCTTCTTGGATGCACTGTATCACTTGCATGTAGCCTGCATAGCGGTGCAGTATGATTATCTCCCATTAAATTTGTTCCCACCAGGCTGTCTATACTACTGGTTACCAGGTGGTGATTGATTCCAAGGTGCGCCGTCTGGAGGAAGTTCACCTGGGAGCTCATCCTGACAGTCAGTGCGGTTGCCATACGGCTAGGAAACTGACTCTCCATGTGGCGGGAACCAACCTGATCTGATTTGTTTCGCGTTGAAAGCCGCCTTTATGACCAGATTGCCTGCTTCACCTGAGTCGAATTCCGTTTTTCATCTGTAAACAAGCCTAGGATGTTTCCTTCACCTGAGTCGAATTCCGTTTTTCATCGGTAAACAAGCCCAGTTCATGCAGTGCCGCAGAGGGTATCGCTCTTCTGCACA